GAATTACTCACAAATACGAAATGTTTGAATTTGTTTAGAAGAAAAAATGTAACGTTGCATTACCAACAAGTGCGAAAACCTGCAGTTTGCCTCGGTTTTCAGCCATAACTTTCTTGCTATTAGTCAGATCTTTTTACGTGTGGTCTCATTTTGTAGGTCTGATAAATACCTAAAAATCTTATGTGAAGAGTTTTTTCGTTTCTGCCATCCCTTCCGATTGAATCCCAAAAAACATGTTTTCTCATTATTTGTTGTCGAATAAAAAGTTTTCTCACAAAAATTGGAGTACCCATTTTATGCGTCCATGTTTTAAATATCCCCTTGAACACATTGCATTATTTCCATGTATCCCCCTATAGCCCCACGGTACCCAATGGGTGCTTAGGCCTTAGGCCTTCGTGGTAGTTGGAGTATAAAAAAAAAAAAACAAGCCAGGGGTATTTTCGTCTAATATGATTAGACTATATTTATAAAAACCGCTGCAATGTCGTACCTCCAAACTAATCCGATGCGATTGCTCTGAACCTTTATTTTTCTTCATTTCTGCAAAATGTTAATAGCAACTGTGACACAAGGATACATTTTTACAACAACAACCTTTTTGGGAGCTTTTAGAATGTTCATTCCGTTTCATCCAAAGTAATGAGGTAAGTGATCTTTTGCACAGTATTAAAAGTGATGCATTCGGTGTTGACAATATCAACTGCAAAATGCTGAAGTAATCCTTTTATAGATCAATACATTACGCACATTATAAATTCCTGTATAGAAAGTTCCTATGTTCCCGTACTATGGAAAACCTCTATAGGTATACCTATTCCCAAAAAAAAATACACTATTTTCTGACTTAAAAATCATCGGTAAATTAACAACTTTTTCCAAGGTTTTTGAAAAGTTCCTATACTCGCAGATTTCGGACCATTTTACAAAAAAACACCTGACAGTCAGTGTGGATTCTGTGCCAGCAGGGGTACTTCTAATACAGAGAATACTAACTGCACATGATCAAGGCAAGTCCAGTGTTTCATTGTTGCTCGACTTTTCAAAAGCATATATGTAAGTCACGACCTTCTTTGTCCTATACTAAAATATTAAGGATTCAATGAATCCTCGTTATTTCTAATATGAAATCATTTCTTGAGGCGATCACAAAAGATATCTGAACGAATCCTATTCAGCACGTGCTGAAATGCTATCCGGAGTTCCGCAAAGCTCTATTCTTGTTCCACTCTTTTTTATTATATATACTGCAGATATTTTGAATAGTGTTAAAAATTGCAAAATGCAGGCATATGCTGATAATATTCAACTTTAAAAGGGTTTTCAAACTACTGATGCTGTGCCTGCTGAAGCACGTATGAATCTGCAGCTAAGCTCATTGTGTGACATATCGCGTGAACACACTTCAACTCTGAGTTCTGACGAATGCAAAGTACCATATTTCGGCGATAAAAACAGTGTTCATATTTTAAGAGACACCTTAACTTGCAGCATTAACAACCAGTCATTGCAGGTATGTGGCTCTTCTCGTAATTTGGGATTAGTTATAGACAAAAACTGTCGTTTTAGTGACCATGTCAAAAATCTAATCAATAAGTCATTTACGTCCCTAAAATTAATTTACAGTAACAGGCTTTATCTTGGGATAAATCTAAAGAAGATATTATTAGCCCTGTTCGTACAGCGGTCACCAACCTATCAGTGATCGTTTCCAAGATCCCGCCACACAAATTCCGAACATTCTGCTAAGCTATTTATACATAATACAGGCGGCCGGATCCCAGGCACAGTCGCCAGCAAGTCACCGACCACTGTACGAACAAACCACGTGTGATCCTAAGTCATCTCAACTACTACGACTGCATTTATGGACCCTGTCTGACACAGGCAGATAAATCTCGTATTCAGAAGGTTCAAAACTGTTGTTGTTTGTTAATTTATGGAATCGGGAAGTACGACCCAGTAACACCTAAAATCATCGAGTGCGAATGGCTTAATATGGAGAATAAAACGCAGGCTTCACTTATGCACCCTCACTCGCAAACTCTTGAGCAGACCTGCTCCTCCAAATCTTGCAAATAAGTTTATACCTCGCTCTACAATCCAGTCCATTAATAAGTTTAAATATAAACTTAAACTCCTTCTACCCAATAAAGCTGGAGTTTTGCTATGCCACCTGGTATCGGAGCTGAACGCTAACAAAGTCATACTTCATTCCTGCCTTACAATGTTAGTACTTCCTCGTTAATTATATGCTTTTTTATTGTAATCAGCATTCAGATATTATTATCACAGGTAGTGATAATAATATCTGAATGCTGATTTTTGTATTTATGCCTTATACCATTCTACGATGCTTTATTGTATTTTTTTAGCGCCATTGTATTTTTTGTGATGGGTATGACAGTTCTGTGCTGCCTTCTTAAAGATATATTTTTGAGCAATTGTAATTTTTCTGATAGTTGAGTAGAATAGAAGAACATTTTATTATTTTTCAATAAAGCCATTTATTAATATTATAATTATTATTACTATCTATACTGATGTACTTTACCACAAGTAGGGTGGCTCATTGCTGGACTGGATTTCGAACCAGTTTGGTATCTGAAAGATGAAGCAATCTCTTTCATGGAAGAAAAACGAATTGACGAGTGTGAACATTTGAGAAATAATGTATGGACTTTCCATTTTGAACAGCTCATCTCGGTCAGGTCAATAAATTAAACTTTAAACTCCAGGGAAGGAATTAATTGATACATGGCATTTGATGTCATATCAGGGGTTTCAAAATTCACCTGAATATATTTTCTAATCAACTAGCCAGTCAAGACACTGCTCATTTTACTTCCTACGCCAATGGGCGAGGAAGTATTGTACTCACGAAAAAATTAGAAAATGAAATATTGTATTTTTTTTTTGATGTTATATAGCATGTACCCCACGAATAACCAATTTTCACACAAGGTTGCTACTAAGGAACTAAGGACGAAAAAACTTCGTAGTTTGGAAACTTGGTTTTTTGAAGTTTCAGAATCCTAATCAGATTTCCCAGTACATTTGCCTTTAAATCTTAGAAGTATAGAGGATCTTTTGTTTTTCATCTGCAAATATACACGGACCATGCACAAAATAAACGGTAACTTGCGATGCCGCGTAGATGTGGAAAGGGACAACGTTGCCAGATGGAGAGCAACTACCGGTAGGCCGGGGAAAGAATGTCAATGGATTAACTGTATGGGATTGTTAGTCTGGCCTGACGCGTTTAATTTCTCTGTTACACATGATCGTAACTGACTTTTTTCTCAGAGGAGGTATTTTTCTTCAACTATCTATTGCAGTTAGAGAATACAAACTGCAGAGCTCTGTCTCCATGAAGAACAGATATCCTAAGACTTATTTAAAGTGAATTGTGAATGAGTCAAACCATAATTGCAGCTGGAACTGATTGGGTTGCAATGTAATATTGAATTGATGAACTATTTCTCAATCATTCGTTCTATGAGCAATTGATTTCATTCACTGAAGCAGGTAAATGTGCGGTTGGGATATTTTGCGACTTGAGTAGGCCCTTTGACAGTTTCAACCATAATATTCTGTTGTATAAGCTCCCTGCATCTGTTGTGAATGGCGCTCCGTTAAGGTGGCTCAACTCATACCTACCTCGTTGATAGGAAACGATATGTTTCTCTACTACATAAAGATGAGCAAATGTAACATCGAGTCCAATCCAGTGAAGTCACTGTTGTTACTGGGGTCCACAAGGTTGCATTGTATGGCCTATTTTGTTCATTCTCTATATCAATGAGATTGAGTAGGTGTGTGAGGATGCGCTGTTCACACTATATATATGCAGATGATACATCAATATTAGTCTCGAGCAAATTGGAAAATGGTAGATGCAATGTGGTAATTGCAATGATCAGTGGTTGGTTTTCCAACTATCAGTAGTTTTTGAACACTGACAAGACCAATTTAATTAAGTTTCATAACCCACAAAAGAATATAAATATCCCTGACGTTAAACATATGTGTAAGAATGCGTCATTGAACTTCACAACTGATGTTAAGTTTCTGGGAATATTTCTAGACGATAAGTTAAATTGCAGAGTACATTGCCACTACCTAACTTAAGTTTGGTTCTCTCTGAAAGTGAGCTGGTCTTGTGTAGTCCAGACTCCGACATGTTTTTATTGCTCAAAAGCGAATTGTTAGACAATTGGCGCGGATAACACCCACAGTTGTAAAGAAATTTAAAAAGCAATATAAAATCTTAACGGTACCTGCTCTGGCGATTTACGTTGCCGTTATACGTATTCCGGAGCAAGACCAAATTTAATCCCAACAAAGACATACATACAGTTGTCACGAGGCAGATTAATAATGTACACGCCAACTTTTCTAAATTTAAATACGAAAATAAATCGCCCAAATTGCATAGTCCCAAAATCTTCAACATCCTTCCAAAAGATGTACAAAGCAAATCAAAACCACTTTGAGTGTTGTTTGAATGGTTTTTGATACACAAATGTTTGTATAATGGATGTGAGTTTATCAGTGTGTAAATGTTATTTATTATCTTGTATTATTTATAGTTTCATGTCTATATAGCTGCTCTATTAACGATTTCTATGCAAACCTTGTTTGTCTAAAGAAAAATGAATTATTATTATTATTACTATAATATTTATAACATTAATAATTCCATTGTTTAGCTCAGTCACAGTTTCATCTGTCACAAACTCCTTCATACTGTGCGAAAGAATTATCAATTTTTTTGTAACATTTTTTTAATTGTAGTATATAAGTTGTGCCATGTAAAAATCAAAAATTAAGTTTATCACTCGTAAAAATGCGTTTTGTCAAACTTTTTTCGGTAAATTTGTATATTATCTGGCCCTCCCCTCAAAACGTTTGTCTGTGTTTGTGTAACCATTATACCAATTTCAATTATGTTGCACTTGGACTAAGTCTGTCAGATAAGAAAGAAATCGAGGCGTCAATTATTCAAATTATTTATTTAACAAAAAAGTATAAAAAAAAACAACATCAAACATCCATCAAATTCAAATCAGACATCTTTTTGCTGAAGTAACTGTTAAAGTCCAATTGTGATAACAACTGCAACAAATGTTCACCATTGACTTTTTCGTGAAATTTGTATAAGATGAATAAAAGGGTTTCAATGATGTTATCGCTTCGTTTCTGGAATATCTCGAGATCTTCAAAATCTGGCTCAGTCAGCTCTGTGCCCCAAGTACCTGCTACTAGGCAGAACTCATCACAGAGCTCCAACAGACTCATTATGACACTATAAACCTGCAAATATTACATATTGGGAGAATGTTCACAGGAAGTCACAAAATATAGAGCTTGGGGGGGCAAATTTCCATTTCGGTCGTGTTACTTTGTTACAAGAGAATATACATACTCAGATACTTTGGAGCGTCAACTTCAAAAATGACCGTCAAAAAACATAGAAGAATCGTAGCATCGAATATGAGGTAGAAATTGGGTTAATCCGATTTGCCCAGGAAATGAGTTCTAGTCGACAATACTTTTAGAAATTTTCATCAATAATATTTTGCCTTTAAAGTTTATAGTTTTTCCATACAAGATTTCCATTAATATCTACCATTGTTACAAATGAACGAAACTGGGGTCATTTAAGGCGATCATCGGCAAGACGCAACTTTTTGTAAGTGTATCAACTCGCAAGATTTCACAAGAGCGGGGTAGCAAATTTTCTCGGAAGAGGGTAAATCCTAAAAACACCAATATTGTACACAAAACTGCTGGATTCTTATGGCGTTCAAGAGGCGAGTTCATATTTATAAATTCAGCATTCAGCAAAAGTATCTCAATATTTTCTACTCACTTTACTCGGCTCATCACACTGAACAGCTGGCTCTTGATAAAGCCTATGCTTATGTTTGTACGTATGCTCCTGAAACCATAGATAAAATTATAAACTCAAAAATTCACAGGCAGTGGATAAAATTACCTCGTCTGGCTTCAAAACGAATGTTTTCGCCAAAAGATTGCTGATAAATTCATGATGGACCTTAATTATATCTTCAAACTCGTTCGCGTTTTCTACAGCCTTAAGTAACACGGAAAATTGCGCTTCTATAACATCTACTTGGAGGTAATACTGTAAATTATTGACTAAAAACATGAGGTTCTGTCGTAGTGTCCACACTCTGCGATCCCTGCAAAAAATTATTACAGTAATTTTATTGTTCGCAATAATTTCAAATAGTGTTCAAACTTTTTGCTGGTATCGGCTGCGTAATCGTCTCACCTTGCATTACTTTTGTAGCAAGTCAAGTTTTACCAAATTATACATTACTCTTAAACTACCTAATATGCATGTTTGACTCATATAGCATTCGCAATAATATTAATATGTTATAATGACATAACATACATTTTTATTTTCCTTGACGCATGTTCCGCCCAAAGCCTGTGCAAGTCAATCTGCGTTTTTCGAAGCCTAAGAAGGAAACAAAACAGTTTATTGTACAATTCCATCGCTTTTGGATGAAACACTATGTGCAATGGCCAATCGATTTCGAAATTCAGTTGAAGCCTTGACCACTGGTTACTCTCTGAAAGAATATAAATAATAATCAACAGCCATTATAAAACAGTAATCTGTTGAAGTGCAAATTATCTAAAACCATTGATTAATGATTAAAGAATCAATTTTCCTACAAAGATTTGTTTATTGTACATGAAATAGATTTTTCAAGAAAAGATCATCCCTCAACCCCCTCATAATATTCTTAACAACGAAAAAGCAAATCCCACGATTTGCGGCAGTAGTCCGAAAATGGCAGCACTGGCGCGTAAAATAAAAACAATTTAGATCTTATTACTTCAAATAATTGCACCACATTGCACCCAAATTGGTTTTGAGATATTTATATCCCGTAAATATCGTCTTTTAAACTTCAACGCCCTGTATCCCGAGTTTCTAAGGTTTCGTACCATACTTTGAAAACACCCTGTAACTTGAAAGCGGAGCCACTGTATGTAAGCTTATTTTTGCGCAGGAAAAGTTTTCAATTGGATCGTATATCTTCTGGTGGAACATGTTGATCTATATTATTAAAACTTATTCAAAAATCTTACTCAAATCATCTGCAATAGACAACAGCTCAAACCTAGTGTAAGTTTTGTCATTCTCTCCATATATCTTCCTTGCCGTTTCTAAGAAAATAAAATTGAGACTGTGCGTAGCCAAGCCTGACGTTTCAGCCTTCAGATGGTCTTCAGCAACAGTGATGAATTGCTGAAATAGCTCACCACGACCCAAGGCATAGAAATCTCTGATGAGATGTAAATGGTCAATCAGATTGCCTTCTACTAACATCACAGTCCATAAATACTAAAAAGAATTAGTGAAGTTAAAGTACTTATTCCGGGTATAATATTGAAATAGATTGTACCACTATGAGGGTTGCTCACTAGATTGCAAGTATTATTTTTTCACAATTCCGGGGCGACATCAATGATTATTCCAACATTCAACCTATTCTTATGAAGATAAGGAATAGAACTACAGTAATGGAATTTATCCTGGTGCTCCAGGGATAGCAAAATAGATGCATACCAGTGGAAAACCAAATTTAGTGAGGTAATTAATTTTCTAATAGATTTCATGGTGAACTTTGTGATTAGTTCAATAATTTACCTTAGTTAATGTTACCCTACATTCCTCCATTATCATTTTGAATTCAATAGCATCAAAAGTCTTTTTCTCTAAGCTCTGTATTCTTCTATAATATTCATAATCCTTGCCCTCCCAAATATCTCTTTTATGCTTTATTTCATAAGTTTCATTTGTGCTTTTCTTAGGATCATTCCTCATGATCCACACTATTCTTCCCATAAAAAGTATAGTCTCAACAGTATCAGTGTCTATAAAAACTGGCACCATTTTCCAATTTATTATGAATTTCCTTACTGGTGGAGGTCTATGCATTTTACTTTTTTTCTGAAATAAGAACCATCATCTATAATCTAAAAATGTTGAAATCCATATATAAAAATATGACAATTGTTGCGATCATAGGTTTTGACTCACATGTAACAGTGAAGTATTGCTGCCAGCATAATCTGCCAACTGTTCAGGATACAGAAAATTTTCATCTGAAGTTTTTTCATCAACAATGAAAAACTCTTCATATGTATCAACTAGGTCTCCATATATTATCCAATTACATAAATGTCTACAGAACATTGGATTGATTGATTGGATTATACTGCAAAAATAATTATTCAATTATTTGATTCTACAAATATTTTGAATTAAACTTTTCCATATCAATGATATATCTAGATATAGCCTTATAGTCTAATCATATTAGCAAATTTCCCCAAAATAATTGTAAAGTCTGGGTTTGTTGGTGCAATTTGTTTGAAACATGGACGCATAAAATGGGTACACCAATTTTTGTGGGAAAACTTTTTATTTGACCACAAAGAATGAGAAAACGAGTATTTTTGGGATTCAATCGAAAGTGTTGACAGGAACAAAAAAACAGTTCATATAAGATTGTTATGTACTTATGAGACCTACAAAATGAGGTGACACGTAAAAGGATCCGACTAATAGCAAAAATGGGACTTGTTGGTAATGCGACCATAATTTCACGCAGCTACTTGAAATTTTTCAAATCTGTAGTGTAGGATTCATGCTTCTTAAGAACAATAACAAAATTGGAGTATATTATGCAAGTATTTTTTGAGAATTTCCAATTGTTTATCCTAAAAACACCTGTTTTCCTGCCATCACTACTAGTTTATTGAGCAATATACACGCTTAGTTCAAAGGGCATTTTATAGCAAAATACACTAGTTTACGTTGCCGATATGAAACGCAAACCATTCCGAAAGATAATTTTTTTTTAAGCAAAAAACAAAGGTTACGTTTTTTTCTTCTAAACAAAATCAAACATTTCGTATTTGTGAGTAATTGAACAAATGCGCTACGATATTCGAAAAACATACGTTACGAGACACATTTTAAAACAAAGCGGATGTGTCTATCATCTGTTGTTGTGAATTACTCACATATACGAAATGTTTGAGTTTGTGTAGAAGAAAAAACGTAACCCATACTTTTTTGTTTAAAAATAACATATATCTTTCGGAATGGCTTGCGATTCATATCGGCAAGGTAAACTACTCTATTTTGCTATAAAATGCCCGTCAAACTAACCCTGTATATTGCTCAATAAACTAGTGATGGCCGGAAAACAGGTGTTTTGAGATAAGCAATTGGAAATTCTCAAAAACTATTTGACCAATCTACTCCAATTTTGTTGTGGTTATTGAGAAGTACTAATCCTACGAATTTGAAGAATTTCAAATATCTGCGAGAAACCATCGTCGCATTAACAACACGTGCCAAAACCTGCAGTTTGCCTCGGTTTTCAGCCATAAGTTTTTTGCTATTAGTCGGATCTTTTTACGTGTGATCTCATTTTATAGGTCTCATAAATACCTAAAAATCTTGTATGAAGAGTTTTTTCGTTGCTGCCAACACTTTCGATTGAATCCCAAAAAACACATTGTCTCATTCTTTGTTGTCGAATAAATTAATATTATTTCGCAAATCAAGGGTATTTTTGTCTAATATGATTAGACTATTAGAGGTTTTCCGAGGGTTGCAAACAAAGCATTTTTTCAGTGATTGTAAATGCAAAAAAAATCATATTTAGTTCAGCTTATTAGCTATTTTTTGGGTCAAGAGGTGTAAGATAAAAAAAAATAAATTTTAGTTTTTCAGTAATATCCATCATATCCAGTATACAGGATGACGGGAAAATAGATGCGGAGCCGGTGGGGGGAGATAGTACAAGCCAATCTTAGTCAATTTTACTATAGGAACTACTGTCCGAAAATTAGCATTTTTCGAATTATACTAATTTTTAAGGTTTTATAAAATTAACGTCCTTTATACGTTAACCAAGTCATAAAACTTGAAAATTTTGTGTTTCATTTGCTTTTTTTTGATTTTACAATAAAAATATTCTAAAATACGAAAATGTATACTCAAATGTACATTATTGACGTTATATCATGCAGTAAGCTCAAAAATAATTCGATTAATGTTAAAAAACACTTTGTTCATCTCAACAGCAACAGTTTACTACAAATGTTTCGTACAAAATAATTAGAAAACATCTACGTTTCATTAACTATCTTTCAAATGAGGAATAAAAATCACAAATCGATTAAGAATTGGCAAAAATATGACTATTATAAGAGGAAGGAAACAGCAATAAAAATACTACACCTACAAAATCATACCTTAATACAGGATAATTTGTTTGAAACTACATCTTTTTATTTTTATAATACATTTTCAATGTAGCGCCCTCTAATGACACACGTGCTCTTCTTATGACAGCTGATTTTACTACCGCCGAATTCCTAAGAGGGGCTTGAATTTCTTGTGCTGCATGTATTATCCTGTTTCTGAGGTCTTCTATTGTGGGTACAGGATTTTGATCAGAGTATACTAAAGTTTTCATGCAACCCCACACAAAGTCCATAGGTGTGAGATCGGGATTGGTCCGCCTCTACCGATCCATCGATTCGGAAACTGCTCATTTAACCAATTTCTAACACTTAGTCTGAAATGTGCTGGGCACCCGTCATGCTGGAAAATCATTCTGTGTCTTGTATGTAGCGGCACATCTTCAAGTAATTCAAATAGAACATTTCTTAAGAAATTTTCGTAGGCTTCTCCATTTAAGTTGTTTGGTAGGAAATGTGGTCCTACCAAACAGTTATTCATAATGCCCCTCCAGACATTCAGACAAAATCGCCTTTGAGATCCTTTTGGTCTCTTCATATGAGGAATTCCCACTGTACGTCCACGCCAATAGTGAGCGTTATGGAAGTTTGTTATGCCGTCTTTATCAAATTTTGATTCGTCGGTCCATACTCACGACGAGCTTCTTCAGCTTTGCCTCTGGCATCTCCATAGTAGAAAAGGATATCGACATATTCTTTGAAACTGAACGGCTGCCTCCTTTGTTCATCAGCCACTATTCATCGATAGGTAGATCAACGAACAATCAAGTCACACAGCAGCCAAGTAGTAAGGAATCACAGAAAACAGGGTACAGTCTAGGTCGTCAGGAAAAGAATCACACACAGAAGTCCAACAAGAGCCAAGTCCTTAGAAATATCAAAACAGCGAGCAAACAAACACATCCGAACGCAACAAATCGCAAGAGCAGATTGAAGCGAGGGAGGGAGGGAGGTGACTAGTCTTACTTATCACACTATTCCAGTGGCAAACTCCGATGTTCGCGGCTCTACCTGTTTCTTTCACTCATATCTTTGTCATTTCTAAACCGGTTTGTGACTTTGATACCTCATTTGAAAGGTGAAACGTAGATATTTTAAAATTGTCTTGCACGAAAATTTGTAGGTGATTGTTTCTAGTAAATTGAGTTTTTGAGATAAACGAAGATTTTTTTTTCACAAAAAATTGAGCTATTTTGAAGCTTATTACATGAGATAACGTCAATAATGTACATTTGAGTATCAATTTTCGTATTTTAGAATATTTTTATTGTAAAACCAAAAAAAATCAAATGAAACACCCAATTTTCAAGTTTTATGACTTGGTTAACGTATAAAGGACGTTAATTTTATAAACTCTTAAAAATTAGTATAATTCAAAAACGGCTAATTTTCGGACAGTTGTTCCTATAGTAAAATCAACCCAGATTGGCTTCTACTATCTCCCCCACCGTCTCCGCATCTATTTTCCAGTCACCCTGTATTTAAATGTTGGAATCAATTCTAGAGCTATTTAGGAACATCTGGAACAGTTACCAGAGGGCTATGATCTTCACAACATTTAAAATGGCCCTACTGAAGTGACTGTTACCTGAGGGTGAAGCAAATATTTTAGAATAGAAAATATAGAAAAAATTAATCACCTAAATATTTAAAAAAATCAATGACTTTAGAACACATAACATAATGTTGAAGATAACTTACACATCTGCTGCTTTAGCTATCTGATCCACACCACATATATAATTATGCATTCTACCAATCAACAAGCATCCTCGTATATTGCTTTTCTGTATTAAATTTATCATGGACAACAGAACCTCAAACAATTTGCGATACCTCTCAACACTGCTCAAGATAAACAGCAAAGGCAACTGAGGATTCTGTAGTAATGTGTTCTCTAAGTTGACGATTTCATCTCTATAGTCTTGCAGGACTTTATCAATCCCATTGCAGAATGCTGTTATATACATACCCCTAGGTTGGGGGCTAGTACATCGAACAAGGGTTCCACAATCATCATTTGATGTAAGAGCTGGATTTAAGACTTTTTGAACAAAACCATTTATTTTGTGGAAGTCTATTGCTATTGCTGCTATCATAAGCAGTAGCTTCTTTTCTCCAGGATGAAGGAAGTCATTCAATTCAAACAGATATGCCCACTGCAAACGTAAATATTTCAGTTAAGCTAGAAAATGATGAAAAAAACAGTGACTTACATTATTTTCATCAGAAATATCATCACTCAGATTATCCCACAGGTTGAACAGGCACTCATGAATCATTCTGAAGAGTTAAATGTTTTTAAATATCGGAATTGAAATCAAAATGTTTAAAACATTTTGTTGTGACAATTCAGTGACAATCTTAGACGTCTAAGGTGACAATCCAGCAACCTGCCAGCAACATTGTGACAAATGACACATCGTCATTCAAAAATCTTCCGGTCCCGCGGTATTGCCCGGCAAACTTGTGTGCAAACCTCGCAAAAATGTAGGATAATAATCACCTTTCGAATGACTCATGAAGAATAGGATAATTAGATCTACAAGTTCTTCTGTCAATTTTAAACGCTTTTGTACCAAAAAATATAGTTCTCTTTTTCTCTTAAGTTTTTATTGTAGACACAAAACACAAGACTGAAAAAGGCATTGTTTTATACAAATAGGGCGACATCTATTAAAGTAATGCTGAGTTTGTTTTCTATGGCGAAATCTATAACTACTTAAAATTGCTCCATCCGCAAAGTCGATGATGAAGGCACCATCACAGCCACACAAGCACGATGAAGCTACGGACGGAAGGTACCAACATAATGATCACAGAACGCTAAATTTTGAAACCAGCAAACCAGTATTGCCGAACCAAAAAAGACAAAATCGGTTGATAGTGGCATAATGCGGTAGATTCAAGTACAAAACCGATAGTGAGGAAAAAATCAAGGCCGTTGCAAGATCAGCCTTTGCATCACGCAAAAAAATATATTTTGTATTGCGCGTGCACACACAACCACAACATAGGTTTTTTGAGAGCATCGTTTCCTGAAAAAATACTAACTAGTTTATTAAAACTTTTACAATAATTATACTGCTCTTCAAGCTGCTCTGCAACCATTCTGAAAAATCCGTTCTCTATTCTTGTTTATAAGTTGTGAATATTTGTCCGTTTTCCGACGAACTTGAAACCTCATCACCTGATATTTTAATTTAATATTTGATTATTGAAAACATACGAGTTTTGCTTTCCTTATTGCTTGTCCAGTAAAGAGATGAGGTCGATCTACCAGTCTGTACCTCTTGTACGCACAAAAGCCAATACAGGGATGCGGAGCAAGCGAAGTGCGTACATAATTATAGGCATATGTATAATTGGTAAGAAGCATACAAGTCCATAGACCACAATATAAAATTCATTAAAAAATCTGGAAATACCTAGATCATTTAAAAAAAATTGTGGAGTATGGGCGTTTTCGATTATTCGGTACACAAACATGGTCTAATTTCGGTAGAAATACCGAAAAATCGGTAGGCTTGCCAACGCTGCAGCAAGCCCGGATACGTGTTGTCAGTTGTCAATTGTCGTTGTCAATTGTCGTTGTCAACTTTCCCTATTCTGATTTTGTATTCTGTGATGAATATTGGCGACATTGGCGTTAGTTTATAGCGTTAAAAATTCGGAAAGCTGGAAAAAAATACATAAGTATGGAAAATCATGTTTCCTTACGACAGCTTTTCGTGTTAGCTATATAACAAGTGATAACAATGTGATGTTAGTGCAAAATCTAGGTGCTAAAAAGTTGTATGGATTTGGGATCACATACTTTTGGATATGATTACCGGACTTTTTGTTAATTTTTCGGCTTAATGGTGGGATTTAAATATAATTCAGTGTTCATAGACTGTCCAGTCGCAGGGAAATGTCCGAAAACATTGATGAACTGCGGGTAAAGAGCCTACTTTCTTAACATACATTGCCATTACAGTTAGGCCTTAACCGTCATCCTGACGTTAAAATTAATTTTCAGAATATGCTTATTACCTTCAGGGTATCAGAGCTGCAGATGCTATTAGGTTTTGCTGGCAGAAACAAGTCTGGACGCAAGAACGAACTCCAACAAAGAGCACTGGAGTTGTTAAGAGTGAGGTCTCATCCCATTCACCAAAAAATCAGAGATTTATACAAGACTATACAGTGAGTATGTTCAATAACAGACATTACAACCCTTACTAATAATGCAGTCAATATCAGCTCAGAATTCTCATCACCTGATGGTTGAGAGGCTTTTGTTTGAAAGATGGTAAGTTGATATTAACTTACAGCATTCAATAAAAAAGTTATTTTGACCCTAATTTTTAATGTATTTGTTTTTAGGCAAAGTGGAAGTTTAACAAATCAACCACCTTCAAGTCCTTCTCCTGAACTGTCGAATGCTCAAGTGACCAACATGCCCCAAAATCAAGGAGTCCCTAGAACTACTGCCACAGTTCATCCCTATGTGGTAAGGAAATACATTATTTCTTTATTATTATATAACATCATATCAGCTTTTTTTTAAAAAGATTTTGAAATTTTTTAATTTTACTGAAAATATTTAAATTAAAAACAAGAATAATAGCTGGAAAGTTTTATGAAAATGGCTGCCTAACAATAACAAAACCCTGTACAACATCCTTTAGAAGCTGTATGTTTCTGTTTCATCAAAAGATGGCGCCACTTGGGTGTGGTGAACATAGTCTTGATTATTTTTATATACTATACTGGAATGCTGGGTAACTCCTTGATCCTTCTGATTGTTCAGATGTGAAATGATGATTGGGTAGATTCAGAAGTATTTCTGAGGCCTGCTCCCATTTTTGTTACGCTTTGCAGGCTTTACCTCCCTGATCACATTAAAATAATCACTAGGATCCTTTTTATTTAATATAAAAAAAAACTCAAAACACAATTATTACTACCCTTTTTCCTAGCTTGGCAAAAATGGAGGGAGAGGGAACATTTGGTTTTTTACAAAAATTCATTATTCATTCAAGGTTCTCAACAAGCAACAAGCTAAATCACTTTTAGAGGACAAATTACTAGGTTTAGTTAAAGTTAAGATCTGTTAGATATAAACTTAATTTTGGTGAAAGCTAAATCCAGTATATGTATTATATGAGCAGTAGTCAATTAGTCATTGCCAAAGCCAAGGACTAGTTGGGTACAAAATACAATTACTTGTTAATTGGGAAATTGGCAAAACTTTTAGGCTTAAGTTGACTCTTTTGACGATAAAATCAAGCTTTCCGCATTCTCTATGGAGCCATCATCAGGATTCTGAAAACATAATTGTGATGCTAGCAAAGAAAACAGGACAGATTTAAGATGTCAGACAACTTACTCATCGGTGAGGTTGCAGCCACAAGGTGTTTCAGAAAGAAGTTCGATCTTCTCTACCTTCTTTCTGAAACACCTTGTGGCTGCAACCTCACCGACGAGTAAGTTGTCTGATATTTTAAATCTGTCCTGTTTTCTTTGCTAGCATCACAATTGTGTTTTCAGAATCCTGATGATGGCTCCATAGAGAATGCCGAAAGCTTGATTTTATCGTCAAAAGAGTCAACTTAGGCCTAAAAGTTTTGCCAATTTCCCAATTAATAATATATATATATATACGAGGGTTGTCTTTTATGTTTTGCATGTAGAGATATAGAAACATAGTAGGCCGCGCGGATCGAACGTCAGTACTGAATCTTAACCTCACTCTTTAGTAAACTTAAATTCAAAGTTTCACAACAATAAGGTGCACTGTTCTCACTACAGTGAATTTTTAAGTGTCACCAAGTCATTAGAAAAATGGAACTCAACAGAGAACATTTTCGCGCCATAATTTATTACAACTATTATCGCAACAAGAATGCCTTGCTGAGTTACTGTCTGTTTTCGGCAACGAAGCGCCACATCACTCGACAATTTCCCGTTGGTATGGAGAATTCAAACGTAGACGGGTGCGTCTTAGCGACGATCCCAGGGTGGGTGCACCAAAAACGGCAGTCACCCAGGAAAACGTTGATGCTGTGCGCAAACTCATCATTGAAGATAGACATGTGACATATCGCGAGATTGAGGCGTCCTTGAAGATCTCAAAGACCTCAATTCAAAAAATTTTAAATGAAGAATTATGAGTAAGAAAATTTGTTTCTTGTTGGATACCCCACCTGTTGACTGAAGAGCAGAAAGCAGCCAGGCTTAATTGGTGTCAAAAAACGCTTAACCGTTTCAATTCCGGAAACTCAAAAAATGTGTACAGTTTGTTAGTGGTGATGAATCGTGGATTTACTGTTATGAACCAGAAAATAAACGAAAGTCGGCTGTTTGGGTGTTCCAAGGTGAAGAAAAGCCAACAAAAGTCATCTGTTCTCGAACTGTTTCGAAAAAGATGGTCGCGACATTTATCTCAAAAGCGGGTCATATTGCAACAATTCCTCTTAATGAGCAAAGAACTGTTACTGCGGATTGGTATACCATTTGTTTGCCAAAAGTCATCACCGAGCTTCGAAAAATCAACCCCAAAAGAAGAATCATCCTCCACCAAGACAATGCAAGCCCGCACACACCCAAAAAACCAGGCAGTATTTAACGGAAGAAAACGTGGAATTATTGGACCATACTCCATATAGTCCCGATCTAAGTCCTAACGATTTCTTTACTTTCCTGAAAATTAAAAACAGACTGCGTGGTCAAAGGTTCCAGTCACCAGAAGAAGCAGTTGACGCATTCAAAAATGCCGTTTTGGATCTGCCAGCAAACTAGTGGAATAAGTGCTTCGAAAATTGGTTCGACCGCATGCAGATGTGTATTAATCTTCGTGGAGAAAAATAATAAAGTCATTTAAAACTTCCTACCGTGTTGTTTTATTTCCATATGCAAAACTTAAAAGACATCCCTCGTATGTTATGTGTGTATCAAACTCAAACCTTGCCTTTGAGATCTCGGAAACGGTAGAATGGATGTCACAGGATCAGTATTTAATGTTATCCATACCATCAGTAGATTTTTTCATAACATTATGCACCAATAATTACTATCTTCCAGGCTACAAGGTTAATATATATCACATCTAATGATAAATATATTGACCCATAACAGTAATTACTGATCTTGTGACGATGACATGGATTACTTTATGGGACCAAACCGTTTGTAAATTCAGGTATTTCCGAATTTACACTCAGTCCGTTTTATTTTTTCATGGCCTAGTTAAACATTTGCAATGTCTACAAATTACACAATAACATACCACTTTTTCTCCTCTACATGGTGGCACAATCAGAATTTTGATCTGGTGTTTCAGCTCTAAGTTTTTTTTTTAAATACCATTTTCATTGTCTTCATCATTACCCTTCAATAATATGAATGAGTATCATTATGTTGTTTCTCTTTCACTATTCAACCGACCAGTATCTCTTACCATTTCAGAGATCCACTGGTGAAAATATGACATATTTGTTTTTCAAATTATTTTAGAACCAACCTTGGTACATATCAGTTGATATTAAATGTATTCGTTACACTCATCAGTGCAATGTTTAACAGTAATTTTTCAATTTTTAATTTATTATATTCTTGCTAGGAATTTTAAGCCAGCCCACTCGCGACATATTTTTATAACATACTAAATTTGATATAAAATACTTTTCATCCGTTAAGCCTATGGGTGAAGGTAGCTTCTAATTCGGATCTACTAGGGAATTGAAAATAGTAGATCTGAGGTTCTGGTTGTGTGATTGTATCTTTGCACCTGTGGTGTGGGGGTGTGGTTATGACGATGATGATGATATTTATACCCTATTTCCATCACGTTTTGACGTCTCCTGAGGTAAACAGCTAATCAGCAACTGACATTTTTTAGTTAGTCTGCAACATTGGTTATAATGAATCGGGTGTAAATCTAGCAAAAATTTGTAGCGTTTTGTTTTTTGTATGCAAATGAAAGAGCTTTTAGCAAATAAAAAATGAATCTGTAGTGTACAAAAAAACAAAACAAAATATGGCTCTGTCTACCAGGCATTGACGGATCCGTCAGAATTATGTGTCTGCCGATATGGGGATTTTTGAAATATTACTAGATAACCAGCTGTCATTCTACCGTGATGGATACTCGTGAAATAGGATATATGTCTTTCTGATCTGACAAAACGAGAATGGCAGTACCTGTACATTTATTTATCATATATAGGAAATGCAGAGATGTGGCCATGCACTCCCATTAGAGGGGCATGTGCCCCACTGGCTTCCATCTGGGATGTAAAATATACGTAATAGGGTACCCGCTTCTTAAGCAACGAGTGGAGTATGTTTTTTTTTGTCAAAATTGGGCCCGTGAAATAATAATCCTAAAGTTGAAGTGTACATTTAAAGTCTGCCATTTTTGTTTTACAAAATCCTAGTATTGCGAGTGTTACTCGTATATCAAAATCGATCAAGCTGTTTAAGATATATCTCGTGAAATAGGAATTTCAAGGTTGAAATGTTTCATTAAAACCCTCTATTTTGATTTTATAAAATTTTCGATACCCAATGTCACTCACACTCTCCAGACAAATCTGGACAAACTTCATGTGTCAACATCAATTAATCTGCGGTACATAGGATGAGACCTTCACAGTTGGAAATTTCGATAAACATTCGCCATCTACATTTTATAAAATTTTAATATACCCAATGTCTCTGGCACTGTCCAGACAAAGCTAAAGACATAATATGTCAAAATCCATGAAGCCATTTAAGCTGTAGACCTTGAAATAGGAACTTTACAGTTGAAATTTTCTATTAAAACCCACCATTTTGATTTGAGTGTCGCTCGCACCCCCCAGGCAAATCGTCGCCCCTCTGATTCGCAACGTCAAATTCAGAATCTACAGATCTGACTTACCCAGAAAACGGGTCTTTCTAAATTCGAATAAGACCATCAAAAAAATCATGGGAGATTCGTTTAACCGAATTTGATATTTGCACGATCTGAACAATCTTAAGGAGGAAAGCTTTGATTTTTGATTCAATTGAGGCTGTCCAAAATCACCTCTCTCTTTCTTGAACAAAAGTCACCAGACTTTTACACAAGCTACATTATGACTAATGTAACATCTGAAACTTATCCTTTAGTTTACATGCCGATAATCCGCCATTCTTGTATGGAAAATAAAACCACATGAGTTGGCAGAATCTTCTTTACTGTAAACTTTTCAGTCACAAACGTGGTCTTTGTCAGTACATTAAAGTTTTTAGCAAAGTGATTGAGGCAGATGGAATTACCCCATCCTCTCGAAGTTTTGATGTTTCATGTTACACAGGGAGTGGTTAGGTGGCGCATTTTGCGCAAAATTCTTGCTTTAAGCTCCTTGATAAACTTAGCTGTCTTGTTTCAATCTGAAATAACAAGACCGATCGTTTTTTGTGCAATGTACTTATATATCAATGAAATCAATCATTTGATATGAAAAGTGCGGTTCATATATCTTC